AAACAAAAAAAAATAGCGAATACTGAGAAGAAGCGAAGAACAGAAAGAAGGAGGAGAAAAACGAAAAAAAAAATGCAGCAACGGTGACACAGACAAAGCACTTTATGAAGGACAGCGATACTTTAATACCGCATCTGAGGAATGAGTTTAATGCTTAAAGGCGATAATTTGCGAAAATGTCCTTCAGAGTCGTCGTCAACAGAGAAGAGTTTTTTGGAGTGAGTGAGTGAGAATGTCTTCTCATTTGCATATACTTTAACTGCAGTCTCACGGGTCGGATGTAGTTCCAAACTTCTCTGCTAGAAATGAGCGTTTGAGGCTACTTGCAACTGCCTTCTTCGTCTGCTTCTGTTTGTTTGTTGTTTTCTTGTTTCTTTTCTTTCTGTCCTGTCTGTCTGTCTCTCCTCCGTCTCTATCTCTCTCCTCTCTGTCTCTGTCTGTCTGTCTCTCTTCTGTCTCTATCTCTCTCCTCTCTGTCTCTGTCTGTCTGGTTGTCTTTCTCTCTGCTCTCCTCCTTACTTCCTTCCCTCTCTCCTTCCTTACTTCCCTCCCTCCCTTCCTCCTCCTTCCCATTCACTATTTTAATAATTAATGAACTTAACAAGTGCCGGCCTTCACTTCATCATTACTGCATGCTCGTCTCCCGCCAACCAGGGGCATATTCACCACAAAGAACGACCAATTACCATGACCTGTTGTATTGTGCGTGACAGTATTGCCAAGCTAATCACGTGACCCCCGGATCCAGTACCACCACGTACCCACCTGCGTGCCAGACTCCCTCCCCCCCCCTCGACTCCCCACTGAAATATGAATAGTGGTACTTATATGGCGATGTCTGTAAGCACGAGGATTGCCAGATGACACGAAAGGGGGTTGCGCGCGAGCGTAGCCGTAGATGCGTACAGGACGGATGTGAGTCACACGCATGTGCTACGAGCGCGTGGATGCGTGCTTGTTTCCGTGTGTGTGTGTGTGTGTGTGTGTGTGGTGTGTGTGTGTGGTGTGTTGTGTGTGTGGTTGTGTGTGTGTGTGTGTGTGTGTGTGTGTGTGTGTATGTATATATATATAAACCGAATATATATCTATTTTGAGTGTGTGTATATATATTCATCTATCTATATATCTATCTATATGTGTGTGGGTGGGTGTGTTTGTTTGTGTGCGTGTGTGTGGTGCGTAAGTATGTGTGTGCGTGAGTATGTGTGTGTGTGTGTATTTCTATCTCTGTATTTATAGATAACGAGAGAGAGAGAGGAGGCACTAAAATATGAAGTATAGATATTTGTGTGTTGTATATGAATACATTGATGATGATATACGTGGATATTTATTGTATTTACATGTGATTTAGTATGTATGCTTAGATGTATACCTGGGAGTGCTTTATAACAAATACACAAATACAATACTTTGTGAGAGAATGGAGAAACTCACCGCGAGGAAATAAAAGAAAAATATATACATGTGTGTGTGGAATGGTATTTCCACTAAAATGTGCAATTCACTGTTTCAGACGAAAAGTCATGGCATTTGTATGTTTTCTGTGTGTATATTTTTGAATACATGCATATGCATGTTTGAATGCTCTGATGTACATATTCGTTGGAATACATGCCTTTGTTGTTTTCATACTTATACAGTGTATATGTATGAAAAATTAACACGGAAACGGATACATACAACTACGTGTCTTTCATGTACAAATGAGCACATGAGTTAGGAAGTAAATTCCATAGCATATGCATGTGCGTATGTATGTACGTGTGAATCAAGCCAGCGTGTAATGAATCGTGGCGTTCCTGCCGCGCAATCGATACCTAACCTCAATACACACACCTTACCCGTCGCGCTGAAACTTTAACCTGAAGCTTCACGTAGTCTGTTTGTTTTCTGCTTGTTTGCTTGCTTGTCTGCCCGATGGTTGTTTGCTATGAGTGACATTTGCTTGATTGATTAAATAGGGTGTGCGTGTATTTCGTTTTAGGAAATAGAAAAGAGGTATATGTGTATTTTTTTCAGTGTATTTATCTCCCTTTGATGAAAGTCTAGCCCGGTGTGTATTACCGCTTGTTATCGAAGCCGTAAAAAAAAAATTGCGAATCTAGCTGGAACCGGATAATAGAGAAGTTGTGGCGGAGAGGGAGAGGAGAGGGAAGGAGGGAAGGGGGGAGAGAGAGAGAGAGAAGAGGAGAGGGAGAGGGAAGGAGAGGGAGAGGGAATGGGAGAGGGAGAGAGAAGGGGAGAGTTTAATGCTTAAAGGCGATATTTGCGAATGTCCTTCAGAGTCGTCGTCAACAAGAAGAGTTTTTGGAGTGAGTGAGTGAGAATGTCTTCTCATTTGCATATACTTTAATCTGCAGTCTCACGGGTCGGATGTAGTTCCAAACTTCTCTGCTAGAAATGGCGTTTGAGGCTACTTGCAACTGCCTTCTTCGTCTGCTTCTGTTTGTTTGTTTGTTTTTCTTGTTTCTTTTTCTTTCTGTCCCTGTCTGTCTGTCTCTCTCTGTCTCTATCTCTCTCCCTCTCTGTCTCTGTCTGATCTGTCTCTCTCTGTCTCTATCTCTCTCCCTCTCTGTCTCTGTCTGTCTGGCTGTCTTTTCTCTCTGTCTCTCCCTTACTTCCTTCCCTCTCTCCTTCTTCTTACTTCCCTCCCTCCCTTCCTCCTCCCTTCCCATTCACTATTTAATAATTAATGAACTTAACAAGTGCCGGCCTTCACTTCATTACTGCATGCTCGTCTCCCGCCAACCAGGGGCATATTCACACAAAGAACGACCTAATTACCATGACCTGTTGTATTGTGCGTGACAGTATTGCCAAGCTAATCACGTGACCCCCGGATGCCAGTACCCACCTGCGTGCCACGACTCCCTCCCCCCCCCCTCGACTCCCCCACTGAAATATGAATAGTGGTACTTATATGGCGATGTCTGTAAGCACGAGGATTGCCAGATGACACGAAAGGGGGTTGCGCGCGAGCGTAGCCGTAGATGCGTACAGGACGGATGTGAGTCACACGCATGTGCTACGAGCGCGTGGATGCGTGCTTGTTTCCGTGTGGTGTGTGTGTGTGTGTGTGTGTGTGTGTGTGTGTGGTGTGTGTGTGTGTGTGTGTGTGTGTGTGTGTGTGTGTGTGTGTGTGTGTGTGTGTGTATGTATATATATATAAACCGAATATATATCTATTTTGAGTGTGTGTATATATATATTCATCTATCTATCTATCTATCTATATGTGTGTGGGTGGGTGTGTTTGTTTGTGTGCGTGTGTGTGTGTGCGTAAGTATGTGTGTGCGTGAGTATGTGTGTGTGTGTGTATTTCTATCTCTGTATTTATAGATAACGAGAGAGAGAGAGGAGGCACTAAAATATGAAGTATAGATATTTGTGTGTTGTATATATATGAATACATTGTATGTATGTATATACGTGGATATTTATTGTATTTACATGTGTATTTAGTATGTATGCTTAGATGTATATACCTGGGAGTGCTTTATAACAAATACACAAATACAATACTTTGTGAGAGAATGGAGAAACTCACCGCGAGGAAATAAAAGAAAAATATATACATGTGTGTGTGGAATGGTATTTCCACTAAAATGTGCAATTCACTGTTTCAGACGAAAAGTCATGGCATTTGTATGTTTTCTGTGTGTATATTTTTGAATACATGCATATGCATGTTTGAATGCTCTGATGTACATATTCGTTGGAATACATGCCTTTGTTGTTTTCATACTTATACAGTGTATATGTATGAAAAATTAACACGGAAACGGATACATACAACTACGTGTCTTTCATGTACAAATGAGCACATGAGTTAGGAAGTAAATTCCATAGCATATGCATGTGCGTATGTATGTACGTGTGAATCAAGCCAGCGTGTAAATGAATCGTGGCGTTCCCTGCCGGCGCAATCGATACCTAACCTCAATACACACACCTTACCCGTCGCGCTGAAACTTTAACCTGAAGCTTCACGTAGTCTGTTTGTTTGTCTGCTTGTTTGCTTGCTTGTCTGCCCGATGGTTGTTTGCTATGAGTGACATTTGCTTGATTGATTAAATAGGGTGTGCGTGTATTTCGTTTTAGGAAATAGAAAAGAGGTATATGTGTATTTTTTTTCAGTGTATTTATCTCCCTTTGATGAAAGTCTAGCCCGGTGTGTATTACCGCTTGTTATCGAAGCCGTTAAAAAAAAAAATTGCGAAATCTAGCTGGAACCGGATAAGAGAGAAGTTGTGGCGGAGAGGGAGAGGGAGAGGGAGAGGGAAGGGGGGAGAGAGAGAGAGAGAAGAGGAGAGGGAGAGGGAAGGAGAGAGGGAGAGGGAATGGGAGAGGGAGAGAGAAGGGGAGAGGGAGAAGGAAGGGGAGAGGAAGTTCGCTCAGGCTATCGATAATAAGCTTGGATCTCGGTGCGTTTGCGTGTCTTCCTCTGTTTGTGTCGGGGTTTGTCTGTTGTTTTTGAGTGTTTTCGTTTGTTTGTGAATGGGCGTCTTGTGGGTGGTCTTTGTGTCGTTGTTATGTCTGTATTCGATCTTTTGTTCGTTTGTAGGTTTACACGTCGACTTTTGTGCAAAGGTGTCATGTACTTATCAAATATTTATGTAAGTAGTATAAGTAGTAACGGTAAGTACTCATGCATAATAATTGTATATAAATTGTGTTTATGTGAGTGTACGAAGGTATGTGAGACCATGCGACGTGCGTGACAGTACCGGCGTGAGAGTGCGTGGAAGATGATCAGTGTGGTGTTGGCCGTGGCTGAGGGAGGTCAGTGCAGCTCGCGAACAGAAGGTTCTCTCGCACTGACGAAACGTGACGCGGACTCGAAGTCGGTTGTGTGACGCGCGTGTGCTGGTGTGACGTGGTGGATACTGTTTTGTGTCTTTCTTTTTTTTATTATTCTTTCTGTTTTTGGAGGTGTTGGTGCTAGTGTCGACGTTTAACAGTGTGTGTGACGTAACCCTAACGTCATGGAAGTTGTGACGTGCCGTGCTTGTCGAGTCTCACGGGGAAGGTTGGAGTGAGGAGGACCTGTGTGGCTTATGGCAGACATGTTCCTGTGTATGTGTAGTCCGGTAAGTGTGTGTCTGTGGTGCTGTGTTGGCCGACAGCTGTGACGGTGTTCGTGGGATTGTTACGTCTGTGATAAATGAAGCGAATGAGACGGTATGGTGGTGTGGTGGTGACGCGGTGGTGACGGAGGTGGTGGTGATAACACGGTGATGGTGATAACGCGGTGTTGGTGACGATGTCATTGCAATATGTGATGGTACGTAATGCAAACTGTTATTTGCACTTCTGCATATGGTGTATGTTAGCATTACGGTGGTTGTCACGGTGTTGTCACGTGTCTAAGTGTCTCTATGGGCGTGAGAATGTGCAAATTTGTATGTGTTTATGTTGAGATATGTCTATTTTTTTCTTATTCTGGATCACTGAATTAATTTAGGAATGCATGTAAGACGTATGCACTCAGTATGTTTACGGAATATTTACCTATACATGTACGAGTGAACATGCACACACACCCACACTGTATACCTGTGACGTTTGCACAAGGAACCAGGCAAGGTTCAGGAGCTCCTCTAAGTGCAGTGACTCACCGTGTGAATCACCTGGACTATACCTCTGTCACACCTGTCCTACCTTACCCACTTACCAACGGACACCATTTCGTCACATTAACATCTGCCGCAGCATGAAATATAGCATGTGTGGCCTGGTTATAACACAGAAAACTAGCAGAACCATGAAAATCGCCAGGGAACACACACACACACACACACGTTCACATTCCACGGACGATGGACACCAAACCAGCATGGACCAAAAGTGAAACGGCCGTTACTGGTCTCTTCGTTACAGCCCGGCTTAACAACAACAAACAGCAAATTACCAATTTCCTGCTGCTCAGCCAACGACTTCGATCTAAACCGGGTTTCTCTCTGTAGTCTCTCGTATTTTTCTTTCTTTTCTCGTCTTATGTGTTCTTTACTTCGTCAGGTTTACTATGTCTCAGGGTAACGACTGTGTCTGCTGTGTTTGGTTGGTAAGTGGGTGAGAGAAAACACTAGCTTTGCGAACGCCAGCCTTGCATACACTTTCCTTTTTTCTTGAACGCGGCCTTGTGGTGGCAGTGCATGTGGCGGATTTTGCTTGGGGCGGCGCTTGCGGTGAGGCTTCGGGGTTGGACGCTGGGTGGGTGGGGGAGGGGAAGGGGAAGGGGGGTACGGGAAAGGGGAAGGAGGTTGGACGTTGGGGGTTGATGAGGGAGAAAATGTTGAGGGAAGGGGGAGGGAGGGAAGGGGGTTGGATGCAAGGGATGGGGAAGGAACAGGGTAAAGTGGGATGGATGCTGGCTAGGGAAAGGGGGAAAAGTAGGGGGAAGGGGGAAGGGACGCTGGGTTTAGCGAAGGGATAAGGGACTGGACGCTAGGTGTGGGAAAAGGGGAGGAGGAAATGGGGATAGACGCTGGGGAAGGACGTTTCGGGGTGGAAGAGAGAGGGGTGGACCCCTGGGGATGGCAACTGTGGAAGCGGGGGAAGGGGGCGTGAGGGCTGCAATGCTGTCGTGTTGGGGAGACCGGGAAGGAAATGAGTTTGAGAGGAAGGAATGGCAAAGGAATGTTTGGAGGATTAACGTAGGCAGTAAACAGTAAGACAGTAAAATAGGGAGAAGCAAATATCGAAGGAACGTAGAGAAAAGTGAATTAAATACAGGAACTTAGGGGAAAGGGAATAAAGTGCAGGAACTCGAGGAAAAGTGAATAACGAAGGAAATTAGTGGGAAGTGAATATCAAAGCAACTGATGGAGTCCTGAAAATAAGAGGGACAGTAACTTTGGAAGAAGGGAAGGCCAAAGAAAGTAATTTCACGAGAAAGAAATGAGGAAGAAAGTAACATAGGGAGAAGGAAATAGGAAAAGAAGTAATTAAAACAGAAAGAGATGAAAGAATAAGCAAAGAGAAGAGAATAAGAAAGTAACTTAAAAATAGATAAAATAAATGACAAATCAAAAGTAAGAAAATAACTAACATGGAGAGAAAGAGATCACGCGAAACATAGGAAATTGTAAGACAGAAAGTAAATATAGGGAGAAAATTGAGTGAAAGTAACTTTAGGGGAAATAATTAGGTGTGAAAGTAACCTTGGGGGAACGATTTAAGTATGACAGTAACTTTAGGGGAAAGAATTAAGAGTGAAAGTAAATTCAGGGGAAAGAATTAAGAGTAAATAACTTTGACAGAAGATATCTAGATTGAAAGTAACTTAGGGACAATAAGTTACGCAAGAAAGTAGCATCCGGAGAAAGAAATAAAGAAAAAATAACATGATTTAGGGAGAAACGGGAAAGAAACTAGGAAAGTATAAAACAAGAAGATAATGAAAAGGGAGAAGTAGAACGATTGATATTGAAAAAGAATAATGTTTAGAGAATGGAGGATTAAAAAAAAAAAAAAAAGATTGAAAGAAACCACAAA